GGCGGTTGCCAGTCATTCTGTCCGGGTCTGTACTCGTATTGTTCTTTTATAAAATAGAGGTGCCGTGTCACGAAGAGAATTATGAACACTATTATTCCAGTTATCATTTCCCAATTAATAGCTAAGGTCTGATCGATGTCCCCTCTTCACCAGGTGATGAACACTGAGGTTGGATTTTGGAAAGCTTTTCGAAAGATTTTGTGCAGCTAATAGGGAAAATTCCATCAAACAAGATGGCCTCCCTGAATGACTAGAAATAAGGAGGCGGTGTACTGTTGCGGTACAACCCAGTGTAATGACCCATCCTTCTCGCAACACTGCAGTATCGGAGTAAAATAAAGGACACTGTTGACTTACGTTACAAGGTGCTAAATCCGGTATCAGTCAGTCAGTCGGTTTAGATGACCGCTTATTTTTTTGATTTGCTGTGGCGGACGCGTTACATAGTATCTCAACCTTTCCTCTGCCAGATTTTCAGATTCAGCAGAAGATAAGAGTTTGGAGCAGAGTCCTTCTAGACACTTGCCCAGGTAATTCATTGCAATTCCTTGGGTCTTCAGCCGGTCGGCTTAATAAGTTATGTTTTGTCTTCTTTTGTGAAAGTATTCGCAGGACGTGCCCAAGCCATCGCCGTTGTAACTTCTCAGTCTGAAGAAGCAGCGACAGTACACCAAAACTCTGTCTCTCTTGGACTTCTGTACTCTGGGCTATATCGAGACACGTAAGGCCAGCGATTCGTTTCAGAAAGTCCATTTCAGCCACTTGTACGTGGGAACTATATTTTTCAGCTATGGTCTACGACTCATGAACGTAGTTGACCATGAGGATGAACAGCTAACTACTAGAAAACAGAGCGTCTTTAGAATTAGCATTATAGCAAGCCATATGAGGTTGCATGTTAACTTTGCATGTGAACTGTACCGACAGTGGGAACTTTCAGTCGTAGATTGGTAGCGGTGTTTTAAATGTATTGTTTACCGGTGAGGTTGGAAAGCTTCCATTTGTGGTAACTATCCCAGAACATCTGTGTAATGTCATTTGCTATTCATGAAACTGAGTTTTGAAGCTTTATTTTGCATATTAAGTCATGAAAGAGGGTCATCGAAAAATATAGTAAAATAGTGTCAGAATACGAGATAAACGTCCTATTTATCGCAGTTGCAGAAAAGGGGCAGTCAAGGTATTGCGGTAGATGATGATGTCACAGTGATCTGGTTGACATTGCCAGTGTGACTCTTTTAAAATTCATAGAAAACGAAGCAAGAACAGAAATAAAACATCAGTATACAGGAAAAAAGAAAACAAAAATAAAAAATAAATGAAAAGAAACATTTGTATGAATCACAATCATTTGCACAAGTTATAGTTTAAGCAGAAAGGTAGCGCCATCTTCATCTATCAGAATGTCTGAGAATAAGCCCTGAAGCTGGGATGACAAATCTGTGTTGAGCTCTCTATGCATGTTATGGCTATGGTATGGTAGCACGTAGCCGTGATAAACATAATGATACATCTCTTGCGGAGGGTTCGGGTTCTTACACTACCATCATGTGCGCGTAGTCGACGGGTTACCGTTGCGCCAATCAGAAGACCTCGGGCCAGGGCGTTGGCGAGCCAGGGACAGAAACACCGGAAGAGAGTTCATATTTCTTCTTCTTGGTTGTCCTTTCACATTCTGTCTCTTTGACGCAAAGGAGGCGTAGAGCGAGGTAATGCTTTGATTGCTTGTAAATCGCAGGCCGCCATTAGCTTCCTTGGAGAAACGCTCAGTTACTGACCGGATGAACAGCAGCAACCTTTTCCAATCCACTGACTGCTCATAAGCACCAGTCAGCCTTTGATAATAATCCCTGACCTCGTTTGCCGGTCGTTTCGGGTTTCATGGCTACCGTAGCGGATAAAGGGGAAAAAGCCTCACGATACTTCATGCTAAGTAGTCGGAAGTTCCCTTTCTTCCATCGTAGTTCACTCCCTGTGAAAAAATAGTGTGGATAATTTTTAGGGAGCAGGGTTTCCGGATGTATTGAGAATGTTACTTGCTTTGTGGATGTCGTCATTAACAGCTCGATCGAAGACGTTACAATCTGGATCATTTAGATCTAGATCACCTTGTCTCGAAAGAGGTCGCAACGACTGTTTCGAGACTTTAAAGGTCGCATATAAAGAATATCGGCTAACAGCTTATTTCTATCTTGGAATGCAAATATTCGTTACATTAACAACACTAGTCGTGAAGGTCTTTGAGCTTCTAAACGAACAAGAAGTTGCAGTATTGATACACTGCTCTCGAAAGGGCTGTTTACGGATCCTTGATATTTTTTACAAATGCAATGCACAAATACTCCAAATATTTTATCATCAACATTGAAATAATGGATGAATTGTAACTCAGCATATAAGCGTAATTCCATCTCTAATTTTTATAGTTGTGAAGTTCATTAGTTTTTCACTTCCGTTGATCCTCAGATTTGCTATTAAGAAGCTGCATGATGAAAATTATTACTTTATTATCATTCAAAATGATAATGATTCACGCACTGGGAGTCAGACGGAAAATACGAGAAAGGCGTGGCTTAAGCATAGAAAACTTGAGTTACAGCCAGTGTGTTAATAGGCGTTTAGTTGTTTCGAAATCGGATTTTCAAGGTATATTGTATTGTCCCCTAATATGATATGTAGCGCTATACGTGTAACTTAAAACTGTGCCAAGATGAGCTGAAATATTCAGAGTGCTTTAACGTGTTGCGAACAGTCCTCTGATATGCGAGACAAGAGTGAAATATGCCGCTACGGGCAACGAAACTCGTGGCTTCTCTCAAAAGCAGTAAAGCCAAAACCATTAGACTTCAGTAAGCGTTGTACAGTACGACCTTCCTGGAGGTTGCAAGCAGCACCTACGGTAAATCGTAGATTCTCTTGATCTGATCTATAATTGTTGATCTCGATAACTGGAAAAGCTTAACCTAAATGCAGAACAAAACTCATAAGTACATGTGTAGTTGTAAAAAATATAAAAAAACAACGAAAACAACCCTGATATGTTAAAAAAAATTATCACAAAGTTTACAATATTTCTTGAGACATTTCATGTAGAGTACGTCTGAGGAGGCACTGGCAAAACTTTGCCTCACACTCGGCCAGTTTACAACGAATTGCGCGATACTGTACGGACTGGACATGATCGGGTATGGTTCGTAATGCGCTTACGTTAGCCAGTAACCGGCATTCTTCCTCTGCTAGCATCTTCATCCCGTCATCGTTCAAGTCGTTCGTTTTAACACACAACACGTCGCCTTGTAAGTTTCTACCCAGTAAATCAACGTATTGTGATATTTTCGCTGTACTGCTATAAATAACCAAGATAATACATATAAATGCGTACCGGTGTTCAAATCCAAGTGAAGAATGAGAAGGAAATATTAATACAAGTTCCAAATGTTGCTAACCACCGCATATATTAAATCATAAACAAACCACCATGTAGTCACCTCCATCCATAAAACCAAACATTGCTTTTCTAGTTTCGTTAGTAAAGATGAAGTTCGACCTCTAGTGCCCATGACAACCCAGCTGGGTCACAGAAACCAGCAACCATATCTTCAGAAGATCCGTTAGCTGGATTTCCTTCTGAAGCGATGGCTAAGTTTTGATGGGCACGGCATACAGATGTCTAACATTACGTTCATTCCATTATCAAATATTCTACGCATAAGTTAAGTATTGACAAGAGACTAACGAAAGCCATAAGAACAGGCACCTTTGCTACAAAGACATTGCCAACAAGGTCCAAGTTATGGCGAGCAACCAGTAAGACGGAAGAAATGTTTTTATCACGCTACGGCTTATCATGAACAACCATCATATGTTTGACATGTCAAGAAACAAAGGATAAAAAAACGCATGCAGTTAATCTAGCTACCCTGCTCGTGCTGCTCAGAAATGGAAAAGGAAAGTTCGTAAGTACTGGAATGTCGATCTTCATTAAACTTTCATTAGCGGGCCATATTTGGCGCCCTTCTTTTCAATGAGTTAATAAAAAGCGCTGATCTCTATTTCCATGCAATGAGCCAGGAGTACCTTATTTTTAATGGCAAAGTAAACAGAAGCTATGTGGTAAGCACAGAGTGAAGTTTTACTTCCTCCCCACAGAGTGATCCTCACTGATCAACTTCAGAAGGAAGAAAGGCGAGTGAACCGACCGGAGCCTTGAACTCAGAATTTCTCTGCTCTGAGTCTAACGCTGTATCGACTGAGCAATCCCGGTCAAATGCTGCTGCTCCTGTTCAACGTGTGAACGTATGTGCAAGATTGGAATACCGAGAGATATCATAAATCAATAATGTCAGAAAAAAGTTGTGGCTTTCCGTAATATGCGAAAACAGACAGAAGATGGACTTTCGGTTCCAGACGCCACAACAGCTGCGGGGCACACAACCAACTGCAGGAATAAACCCAGACCACCATGAAGAAGGTTCGCAGGAGAAGAATCGAAACTTTGGCAGTGGCCAATCACTCCATTGACAAACTTATTTATTTGAGTTGTGTATGAATAAATCGTTTTTATGCTATAACTCTCAGAAAATCCGGCATGGCAATACCATAACGTTGCACCGTTCAAACTGTTTAAAGCTCATCAAACTGTTTCTCGGCTAAGTGCACCGAAGTCAACAGAACTACAATAAGAAAAATAATAAGAAATAAGTTGTTATAAGTTAATAAGCTGATTATAAGTAAAATTTAATTTTTTAAAATTCGATTCGAACCCACATCTCTCAAATGCACAACTGAATAACTTCTTACGAAACGTTCAAGGCATAACTGATGACAAATTCACACCGATTATGAATTTTGAGGTAAGGACTGCGAAAATACAGCAATTTGCATCAATCCTCGAAGAATGCACGAAGAATTCCAATAATCATGTTATCAAAATCAAAAATAGCGTTGGAGAGAAAAGATTCAGACGATATTCAATCAATCAAACCAAAAATTGAGAAGCAAATATCTCTTCTACGCTATTAAGGTAAAACAGTCTGAGGCAAGGTTGCTGTCCAAACACATATCATGCTATCACCCTCCGAAAGGTAAATGACATTTGTCACAATCGCTAACTGGAGAGCAGTGAATACTAATGTGTCAACGATAATAAATGTCAATGATGTCGGGCTCAGCTGCCTGGCGCATCACCAAATTTTCCATACTGCTAGGTTTATTCTAGTTGATCTAAAGCAACGTCGAAATACAGCAGTAAGCGTATGAATTGAAAACAGCTGAACAGTATGGCGTCTTGTTGTGATGCCGGTATGGTATACGAAACTTGCAGCGACGCTATCCGGTTGCTGGCCCCTGTAACTGCAAAGATTCTTGATTTAATTTTTAGGTAGCCTCTTTCATCAAAAGGTTGGCGAAGGGCGACAATTTTAAATCTGATGTTTAACACGAAGCTGCCTCCAGCCAGGTCTACCATTTTTTTTACCCATCATCATAAGTGCTCAGAATGATTGAACGACTGTAATCACTTAAAAATGGCAGAAACGAAGTTCCTTCGATGACCCTTATTGTATTATAGCTCGGTAAGGTTTGAAATACAGCAGTATGAGATTTGTTCTCTCTTTCATAACTGAACATGAACAACCTGAAGAGGCTCCTTTAATCTTCGTGGGTGGTGACTCTTTGACCTACGGAAGGGTCAGGTGGATAAGAATCAGAGGTGCGCAGCTGTTCTTGTGAGTCGGCATTCCAGGATCAATTATAAGTAGCGACCGAAGGACCTCAGCCACTGAAGCTCACACCAACGATGCACGGTCAGGAAGAAACCGTTAAATCCCAGAGACTAGACGACCCCTTGACAGCGACGAACAATGTAAATAGAGCCACCTTTGTGTACTGAGATTACCATCTAAACACATAGTCTATCTACATGTATCACTAACCTAAACATTTAATGGATGAGCTAAATATCCTCAATTCTTTTTAAAAACTGGGAGATCACTAC